ATGCTGTCTGAGTTAGAAGAATCGAATAACTGCAATGGAGCAGAGGAAGGGGAAATTTTGTCTCATGGCAAAGTGTTGGAGTTGAATAACACAGAGTCTTGTGCTAAACAGAAATCTGGAAATTCTCAGGAAAATGAGAATGAGCTATTAGTTCCTAATAATTCTAAGGGAGGGAGTCATTCTTATGAGAAAAAAGTTAAGTTGATTAAAGAACTTAAGTCCCTTGGCTCAGGAAATATTATTCCTCATAATAGGAAGATGGAAAGTGGTAAATTTAAAAAGGTTGGGGGGCCTTCCCCCATCTTTAAATAATGTCTTCCTTTCTTTTTTGGAATTGTAGAGGAGCCAAGAAGGTAGAGGCTGCTCTATATCTTAAGGAGGTAATCAAGGATTATGGAGTGTTGTTTGTGGGTTTATTGGAAACAAAGATTAGTTCGTTGGAGAATTGTATTCTGCTGAAGTCTCTGGGCATGTAGTGGGATTTTTTTTAGGTTGCAGTTGGGATTTCAGGTGGCCTGATGGTGTTGTGGAGAAAAGACTTAGCTAACTTCTCGGTGATGGAAGCTACTTCTCAAATGATTTTGGGTAAGCTAAATGTTACAGGAAAAGGAAGCTGGGTGGTTGCTTCAGTTTACGGAAGCAATGATATACAGGTTAAAATGACTCTTTGGGATGATCTAGAAAGACATTGTTCATGCAACCTTCCTTTGGTTGTAGGGGGAGATTTCAATTGTGTGCTATCTCAAGCTGAAAAGGATTATGGAGTGTTGTTTGTGGGTTTTTTGTAATACATCCTTTTTTCATGCGTTTGTGAATGCAAGGAGGAGTTCGAACTGGATCAGCCATATCAAAACAGGGAGTGGTATTATTTCGGAAGAGGAAGCTGTGATCCATGATACTTTCTCTGAATTTTTCAGACGGAAATGGCAATTCAGAAACTGCTCATTAGAAGGTTGGCCGAAACCTTATAATGTTATTAGTTTGGATGACCAGAAGATGCTTGATGTTGATTTCTTACGGGAAGAGTTATAGGAGGTTGTTGATAATTCTAAGAGGAGTATTTCTCCAGGCTTAGATGGGATTTCTTTCTCCTTCATCAAAGATTTTTGGCAGGTAATCAAAGGTGACATTTGGCTTGATGTTAATCATTTTCTTGCTTCGGGTATTATGAATGAGTCTTGGAAGAAGACCTTGATTGTTTTGATCCCCAAAATTAATAGTCCACAAGAACCTGTTCACTTTAGACCCATTAGTATTTGTTTTACTATTTACAAACTTATCTCTAAGATGCTCCTTAATAGAATGGAAAGAGTTATACATAAGATAATCTCGGTGGATCAGGCAGCATTTGTTAGAGGATGATCTCTATCTGATCATGTGTTGTTGGCTTAGGAGGTGTTCAACAAATTCAGATGGTCCAAGGCTAGAAGTGGGATGTTTGCTATTAAGCTTGACATGGAACAAGCTTATGACAGTATGAGATGGCAAACATTAAGGCAAGCTCTTACTCAGTTTAATTTTCCTTCTAAATTTTTGGAGCTTGTTTTGCAATGTGTTCTCAATCCCAAATTTTGTATTCTAATCAATGGGAAAAGAATTGGATGGATAGAAGGAAAATGTGGATTCAGGCAAGGATGTCCTTTATCTTCTGTTTTATTCATTTTGTGTTCTCAAATATTGTCTGATGCTTTACTTTCTAGAAGGAGTGGTATGGGTATTGCAGTTTCTCCATTAGCTCCTAGAGTATCTCACTTACTCTATGCAGATGATATTTTAATCTTTGCAGAAGCAAAAATTAAAGAAGTTAAGGAGTTGAAGGAAATCATCTCAAATTATTGTAATTGGACGGGGCAAAAAGTTAACAAGTTGAAATATATGATTATGTTTGGAAGGTTTACAAAAAGGAATTTCCAGAAGAAGATTGTTAAGAAGCTCAAATTCAAAGTGGTAAAGGAAATCAGCTACCTTGGTGTGAAGATGACCCTTAGGAGGTTGATTGCTTCGGATTTTCAGATTTTGCTGGAAGCTGCTACCAATAGACTTAATACTTGGCGGAAGAAGTGCATTTCCTTGGAAGGTAAATTGGTTTTAGTTAAATCAGCGTTCCTTTCTTTGCCTCAGTTTTTATCTACTCTTTCATTAGTTCCTTTGAGTATTCTCAAGGAATTTGATAAGATGTGTAGAGGGTTTCTTTGGAGTAAAAATAACGGGAATGCTGGTATCCATTATGCTTCTTGGAATTTGCTTTGTAAGCCGAAGATTGAGGGTGGTAGGGGGTTGTTTTCTGCTGTGTCTAAGGTTGGTCCTCCTAGGGCCAAATTTGCTTGGAATTTTTACATGAAGCCTCATTCTTTATTGAATCAAATACTTAGAGCAAAGTATGGGGAAGATCTATGGTCGAAGTCGGTGAAGGGTGGAAGTTCTTCTACTTGGAAGATTATTACTATGGGAGCTAAATTTCTCAAAAATGTTGTTAGATGGAGAATTTCAAATGGGGACTCTATCAATTGGATGAATGACTCTTGGATATTAGATAAATGTATTGCTACATGGCCTACATTTGTCAATAGTCAAAATATTTCAGATTTTAAACTTAGCACTTTCATCTCTAATGGCAATTGGAATATGGAAAAGCTCAAAGTCTTTTTTGGGGATCAGCTTATGGAAACTATTTCTAATATTCCTATCAATGTCAGTAGAAATTCAGATTTGTTGGAATTAAAGCATAAGTTCTCTGGGAGATCTGTAACAGCATTGGCATTTGATGCAGCTTTGGTTCATGAGGATGAGGTTGCTCATTAGAATTGGATGAAGAAGCTGAAGTTAAAACCGAAAATTGAACTCTTTTGGTGGAGACTTTGTATGAATGTTATTCCCTCAAATACTTTCCTGGTTAATAGGAAATTAAGCAATTTTTCTGGTTGTCCGAGAGGTTGTGATGTAGATGAGGATAAAAGCCATTTGGTTGGAGAGTGTTTCAAGATCCGGAAAGTGATTCTATTACTGAACAGATGGGGCTTTTCAATCCCGGTTTTTAATGGCTTTCTGGAATGCATGGAAGGCCTTCAAAGGCTTGTGAGTAAGGATGCTCTAAGTGCAAACATTTTTTGTTCAGCAACTTTCCTTGTTTGGAAGAGTAGATGTAAGGTGGTTGGTTCATGGTGAGAAGGATGATTCAGATGCTGTTATTGCTGCTAATGCAATTTCATTTGTTGTTAGGAAGAACTTTTTAAATATTCAGCCGGTTAACTGGGATGCTAATCAGCAATCGCTGTTGTTTCCTTGGCATCCTCCTCCACCCGGGTGGATTAAAATTAATGTTGATGCAGCTCTAAAAGGGAACAATTTGGTCGGGATTGGTGGCATAGCTAGAGACGGAAATGGAAGGTTCCTGGTTGCTTTTGGATCTCAATGTTTGCATTGGGATATTTCTCAGTTGGAACTTTTAGCAGTTCTATATCTGAGGAATGTGGTGAAGGAGTGGATGTTTGAAGCTCAAGGTGTCATCATCGAAGGGGATAATTTCAATATCATTAAGAGGCTTCAAAATTTGGTCAATTCATGGAAGGTTAGTAGAACGATTGATGACAGTTTGGCCTTTTTGCTGAATTTTAATGAAGTTGTTTTCTCCTTTTCGAATAGATGTAATAACAAATTAGCTGATATATGTGCTAATTTGTCTTTAGATAGGTCCTTTTTGTGGGAAGATCTTAATGATGATTGGATTCCTCCTTCTTTCTTGTATTGCTTGAAGGAGGAATGTGATGCTTTAGGGAATACTTGATTTGTAACTTTTTGGTTTTTTTTAGTTTTAATGCATTCATCATTTTGTTCTAAAAAAAAAAAAAAAAAGAAAGGCTTCATACAATATGAACAATTCAAATTTCAAAATTTAAATTTGCCTATTTTAGGTAAGTTAGATTTGATGATGGGTTTCTGGTTATAGTTGATCATTCAATATGATACGATGTTTGTAATTTATGATTAATTATAATTGAATATAATTTTTCATTCAAATTAAATATTTTAATTAATTTCTATTTGAATTGATTATGCAGCATGATGTAGATCGTATAGTACAATTAACAAAAAAAAATGAAAATATTTGTTTTTCACTATCTCTATATGTGCACGATTATTAAGCTAACATACACCTTTTTACATAATTGAGTTAAGAAAGAATAAAATTACGAACTCCTTTAAACAAGCCTAATCTATACAATCCATTCTTGAGCTCTAATTCTCTAATGATCTTGTGTATGTTAAATCTAAAATATTAGTACTACACACAAGAAAAATATGTAATATATACATCATGTGAAATTATATAAAAATCTAATAATATTTGTGATCATCAAAAGGTAAGATAGGGCTCCTAAAATGTAATACTTAGCTTCTATGAGCAAGGAGCAATCAAAAACAATATGCACTGGTGGATACCAAAAGAATCAAATCTGATTTAAGAAATTTTATATGAAGCCCATAACTCAAGTTATTCAATTCCTTGAAGAAGCATGAAGATGTATAGGATTTAAAGTCATTAGAAACCTAGTTGTGTGTTGTAATCATTACCAATACCAGAATGGAAGTGGGAAGATATAATAATGTATTTTATTATGGAATTTCTCATATCACGATAAGGGCACGATTGCATTTGGGTTATGAGTGACAAACTTACAAAAGTAGTACAATTTCTTCTTATTAGTCAAACTAATTTAATGAAGAAATTAGCTAAGTTATTCATTAAGGAAATTATTATATTATATGGAATTCTAAAGTTTATTATATTTGACAGAGATGATTGTTTTACATCTCGACTATGGAAGTGTATTAAAAAATGTTTGGGCATAAAATTACATGTAAGTACAACATTTCATTCGCAGACTGCTGGGGGCAGTGGAGTAACTTAAAGAATTATGAATATGATTTAGGGCTCTATCAATACCTAAATAATACTTACATTTATCTTAAAATGCTAAAAGTCCATTACTTCAAATTAAGCAGCGGCCAGCCGAGCATCCCTACAGTATGCCTATCTCGTGTTTGCTGGCTTAGTCCACCCCTCTCCCACTAATCCTGTCCTGCAAGGGACTGATCTCGTCCATCTCCAAGGCATCCCGCCGATTGCTGTAAAAATACGCTTTCGGTTTTCTACTGCTTCCTAGGGTTTCGCCGTTTTCCTGGAACGATGTACGCCGACCGGGTCACCGCGGGGACCAAGCGCTCCATCAAGGAGCGCCTTGACGGTGACATGGAAGAGGATCTTGGCCAGCGCCGGAAGCCAGAGTTGAAAAGGTTCTATTTCTTATCTTCATCGCATATGCACGTTTAATAAGGCAAGCAGACTTTAGGGTTTCCTTGTTTTTCAGGCTGATGCTTCTTGAACGAACAATGAAACAGTGCTAGACCGTCAAGCTTTATATATATATATATATATATATCGTATTAGGCTTTGACTCAGATTGTATGTGGAGGTGATCGTCTATTTGCTCTATGTGCTGATTCAGTTGCTGTTAATGACTGGATAGCTTGTAATGTGAACTTTGCATGCTATTACTTACATAAGACCTTAAGTGTTGAGTGTTCTGCTTTGAAATTTCATTTAACTACATGGCAGTGTTTGAAAGAGAATATATGCGTTTCATCCAGTTGAATAGCATGATAATCTGAGTCTGCAAACTCTACTTTGGTGCACTTGTAAATGATGTTGCCAGTGTCATTTTGGTTTTAGGCATTGTAAATGCATATATATATTCTTTGTTTCATTGATACTGTGGTTCTTGGTTTATCATTTTTATGTTACCTTGGCCAGATAAGTTTTTTAGATAGTAGAATGAAGGCACTTGCCCTAGGTGTGCTTAGCTTAAAGTTCATGTTCAGTTTTGAACTACTATATATATATATCCACTGCCAACAAATTGATGTATAGACCTTTGATATGTAGAAAAAATATAGTAAGCTTTGTTTTACTCTCAACACTCTAGTGAATGACCCTGAATTGGGAGTACTTGGCTGAACTATATCATTTTTTATATCAATTTCGCTAGCTTGATGCTCAATATATTAGTTCAGGGCTTAGGGATATATGAAATTATGTGAAAGGTGATATAATTTATTCTTAAGATGAATAAAAATCACGTATAAATTTTTAGATTGAAAGGATGTGACTCTCTTTCTGATTTAGGGCTTAGATGCTATATTGGTAAAATATCAAGCCCTTTTTTATGTCCATATAGAATAAGTTTAAAAAAATTGCATATTAACATTTCATATGTTGGAACACATGGGCGAGTAAAAAAATAATTGTATGCTAACAGTTCATGCGATGGAACAAGTGAGAATGGATAATTATAGTTTATGTGCTAGAAAAAATGGTGTGATGGAAACTATGTTGCACTTTCATAGACACGCCGACACGATGATGATATGACAATTATTAAAAATATATGGCACAAGTATGATGCAGACAAAACATTATAATTTTTAAATAATGCATAAAAATTAAGAACGCATAATATTAAGAATGGAAAACAAATGATAAATCAACTTTATAATTAGTTATGTAGCTTAGAATATAAAACGATAAGCATAAATTGTATATTGCAACATAAAAAATGCATGAACTGTTGAGTGCAACATGAAGCTTCAAATATTCACTAAAAGGAATGATAGGATTAACTTCTTTAGGGGTTTGTCTTTTATTTTTCAGTATCATTATCATTAAATATCATTGCTTCTAATTTTGGCTTATCAAGTGAAATATTTGTAATCTTTAATATTGTCAAGGAACTCAAATTCATCTCCAACAACATTCACATCTTGTTATTACCTTTCATATAAATTAGGGTCTTTTTAAATGAAAGATGAATGTTTGTATGCACATAAACAAAATTTTCAGCCCATTGTGGAGTAATTTTATTTTATTTTTTCATTGAATGAATGAATGAATATGTACTTTAGTTTCTCTCACAATAAAATGAGGATGAAACTGACCAAAAAGTTTTATGGTATTTGCTTGAAGTACATGTGTTGAAGTTCTATGAATCAACCACCATATTACGCAAATATTTTTGATAACCAAAGTCCTCTAAATATCCAAAAGAATTTAGTAAGCTCTATAGTAATCATTCATCTCTCCTCATCATTTAGGTACCAATGTTTCAAAGAATATAAAAGACAAAAAAATTAGACAATTACTCTTGAATAAACTAACAATTAATTATAAAATATACATTGAAATTTATCATGAATTTAAAGAGTGAGCCAAGTAATGCAGAGATGTGTTACTGTTGATCCATCTATTCTCTAGAATAATATAAACATCACTCCAAAAACTTTGAGTCTTCATTATGTGGCTTTTTTTCATATCTATATATTTTCTCTTTCACGTTAGCCAATATGGAATCACATATCTCATAAATAAAATGTAAATAGGACTTATATATATTAGTCTCTCTTAGCATCTCATAAATTGGATTAAGAAAAGTTAAAATACAGTCGAATATTATCCTTCCATAGGTCATTTAATATTATTTCTTTTATATACCTTACCTTTTACAACATCAACCTCTCGATAACAAGATTAATTCTCACTAACCACTATGGACTGAAGTGCATTTTTGATTTTATTTGAAGTTTCTCAAAATTATTATGAGACAAAAAGAGTTTCAACTATGGTAATGTTTCTTAAATTTGAGAAATCATCGAAAATAAAAAGGCCAGTAGAGTGATTCATTATGAAATTTCTAATTAAACCATCTCTTATAATCATTATGTATAGTGACATTTATTATAAGTGATCTCATTTCACTCAATATTCTTAGTTGCACAAATATTCCTTAGAGCAAAATTTATAGTATGCTAAATACATGGAATCCAAAAGATTTGAGGATGTGTTTGCTCCACAAGCAGCTTTGCTGCTCTACAAATAGGTGCATTTTAGTAATAGCTTGAATAACATTTAATGATCCAACCATCATGATTATCTATTTGATCAAATTGGAAATGAAAAATAAATCTTTATATTGCCTTTCATAATTGACAACTTTAATGAACATTGGGTAATTATTCGTGCTGTCATCAAATTGATGAGTGGTCTTCTTTAAGGATTGTTCTAGCCATATCAAACACCAAACTAGCTCCTCGCCCCTTCCATACTTCCAAGTTCAAGAAACTTCTTAATATTCTATCTCTCTCTCTCTCTCCAGTAACTTTGATCTAATGACATTGTATTTAGGTGGAGCATAAACTGTAAGGATATTATTGCATGTAAAAGTAAATGCATTATTGTGACGAGGATTCCTTACAAGGTTAAAATAGTCTAGTTAAGAAAAAATCTTCGCAATTACACCATTAAGTTGCTCTTGCATTTGCAAATTATTGTCTTTAGAAAATATTAGGAATGACCTTTCTTTATTAGATTTAAACGAGAATTTGACTTTTAATAGGACACAATGGAGAAAAATGATTCATGTAGCCGACCCCACGTAGTGGGATAAAGGCTTGTTGTTGTTGTCTTTTCCAAAGAATTACTTGCAACACATTTTTTTCTCATACTTTAATACCATTCTATTCTAAATGATTTTGTTATGAGTGGCTTTACTCTTTGAGATAGGATACAAAATGAGCATATACGTGAATAGGTTGGAGTAGCACTAGTGGAAGATAAGATTTTAGAGAAAGCCGCCTTAGATTGCTTGGTCACATAAAATGTTGGTCTTCTAATGACCCGGTTAGGAAAGTGGATATATTAGATTTGACTTATGTTACGAAAGGTAGAGGTATACCTAAAAATACTTGGTTAGAAAATATTAGAAAAGATATTTTTTTATTAGATTTAAATGAGAATTTCACTCTTAATATAACACAATGGAGAAAAATGATTCATGTAGTTGACCCTACGTAGTGGGATAAAGACTTGATGTTGTTGTTATTGTTATTGTATTGGCTGTAACATTATCAACTCAAATAGAAGAGGAAGTAGAATGCCATGAAACATGAGTAGGGGTGAAATTCATTCAATTGTAACAAACTAATCTTAGGGAAAATTTTAACTCCATGCCCAACAATTCTTAGTAAATGGGCTTTCGCTCTAAAATATGATCTTTTGTTAGTGACATTACAATAATTATATTTAAATGAAAAATCTCTTTCACATCATATCAAAGTTATTGGGCGAGAACGGTTTACCTCAAAACTGGGTGAGAACAGTTCACCCAAAAAATGAACTAAAATGGAATACACTGTATTTAATTTATTTTGACTTGGATTTATTTTTCATCCAACCAAACACCAAACTTTTCAAAACCCTTGCATTTACTTTAATTTACACTTACTTTACTTCTAGCCCTAAGTGCGTTCCTCCCAAACAGCCCCTAAGTGCATTCCTCATCTCTCTTCAAGTACTATTTGTTCTAAACCTCTTCTTAAATGCTTGATTTTGAGGTTTTGAATATAGAAGCTTAAGATGTGTGTTATATCTCTATAAACTTAACCTTTCTCTCCTCACATATATTGTAACAGTTAAAATAATGGTTTATGTTAGACACCCATTTATTTAGATTTTGGGTTCCACAATTAATCGAAGGTTAATGCTTCAATTTTTATAATTATAATGACACTATTATTGTTTTTATTAGTGATTTTTTTCACAATGTGGAAATGGGCTTTGGTCCTATAAGCATTAGTGATTTGTTTGGCTCATGCTCTTGGGAAATATAATCAACATGAATTACTACATTTACATTGGTTAATCTAACATCTATTACATTTAACCTAATCAAAATAACTATTAGGTTTTAACACTACCGTTGCCAGGTCCCAAGTTCTTGATAAGAAAAGTGGAGGGTTGCGTTAGGTAGTCGTCAGCCAGTGTAAAACTTATCGAATAATAATGACATGAATCCTTTAAGAAATTGTATTAATGCTAGAGCGTCCCCTGTAAGCGACGCGCTGTATGGCTTGAATAAAGTAACAAGTGTGCAAGGGCTACTGCACCGGCGCCCAGGTGCAATGTTAAATAGGCAAGGGTTCTCACATCAAGGACGGATGTTGGCAAAGAAGCTAGTTCATCAAACTAAAATTTGGATAGATACTTGGAATATAGGTTCCTTTAGAAATTAATAGATATTATGATTCATAGAAAGATAAGTATTTTGTGCATTCAGGAAACTAAATGGGTTGGAGAGAAGGCTAAGGAAATTAATAGTTTAGGATTTAAACTTTGGTATTCGGGTAGGAGTCGTACTAGAAATAGTGTATGCGTTATTATATATAAGAATTTGAAGGATAATGTT